GCATTCTTCTAAGCGAAATCAAAGAAAGCGTAAGAAATAAAGAACATATTCTCCTCTAATCAATATGAATTAAATTACTTAAGAAAAGAAAATAAGAAGAAGAAGAAGATAATCCAATAGCACAAAAATTGATTTGACTGATTCAGCAAAGACCAAAAAATAGTACTGTTTACACCATAAACTGCAAAATTTTAAATTAATACCACGTGTAAAATTTTTATTGGCTGGAGGAGTTTGAGCCATGTCAGATTCAGATTCTGGGTCCCATGACAGATCAGCACATGTGTTGGCAAGATAGGAGAGGTAAAGATAATGTTTTATGGAGTAATTATCTCCTTGAAACAGAAAGAGATAATGGCAGTTGGAAAATAAGGGAGGATCACAGTTAAAAAGGGGATTTTATCTGATAAAGCACAGGTGGCGAAATCTGAAAGGGGATTAGACTAGGTCAAAAGATGAAGTGTCTCACTACTCCAACAAACTAACCATGATTGAGTAACTGCCGGCACAAGAGGAACAAAAAGGAAACTTTGGCAAGGGGAACACATGGCCAGCCCTACTCAAACATCTGCAAATTTTCATACTTTGATTTTCTCTGCACATGCTTCCAGATTTCGGATTTCAGCACATATTTCAGATTTCAGCACAAATTCCATTAGAATTAGGTTGTTTTTCATCATTCCAGTAGACAAATTAATTCATATATTCAGTTAAACAATTTCCTTTCCTGCAATGAACTTCAATCCTTCAAGTTTATGCAAGGTATTGTTTTCTTTTCATTTGTAATTAATTTAATGTTTATGTTAAGTAGCATTGCTTCAATGATTACTTATGTGGCTTTCATGCTTCTTTCCAATTTCAAGTTCTTCAAATTTTTTTACTGTTCACGTTTAATTTTAGTGCTAATTTAAGAGTAAATTTCCAATTCTGCAGCAATTTAATTTCCAAATCTGTCAATAAATTGCATTCTAATTTTACCACAAGCATGTTTAATTTAGTTTAAGTACATTTCTTTCTCGCAAGTTTATTTTAAATTGCAGGTAATTAAAATAATTAGGATTTGAGAATTTTAAGTCACGATAGTGTTTAAGTCCTTGGAGTTGTCCAAGGCAGATTTCGTAACCCAATCTGTAGAAAGGCATCCCTCTCTCTTGCAAATCGTCTGAAGGCGCAATTTCAATTTTAATCCAACGTTCTTCCCGCCATCTGCGAAGAGGTCAACCGTGAGGAAGGAGAGGGTCGTTGGGAAAGTCCTTCTTTCTTACTTTCAGCAAAGTAAGTGGCACGCCTGCATCCAGATTTCACACGTGCGAGGCCACTAGAGGATTTTTTGAGGAAACAAGTACTCTATTCTACTCTTGTCCACCTTTCCTCAGCTTTCTTCACAACAAAAATAATTTCAATAGGGAAGAAAAAGTTATTGCAAACAAGAGGCA